AAGATTAAGGTCTTGCGAAAAGGGCATAGTGTCGCGCCGGGGCTCGAACCCACGACCTTCGCATAAAGACCAGTCAAAGGCTTCAATCACACCTGATTAGGTGTGGGGCATCTGTATGTTTCTATGGTTTAGACCACTCACACGTAACACCAAACAACTACAGACGATAACATACTATATAAAAAAAGACGGACTTTTCCATTCTTCATTGAAGTTTAATGGATCCAATGACTATGTACCCTCTACAAACAATAAAACTTTGCCAAAAATATGGAACAAATGCACATGAATAATTCATATCCTCATAATCATGATAGTTGTACCTTGTATCTTATTACTTCTAAGCGCCCCCCCCCCCCTCCCCAAAAAACAAAAAAACAAAAACAAAAACAAAACAAAACAAAACAGTCACCATGGTCACTGAATCATACGCATGTTGACATGTATAATGTGAATAATATGCCAGGCGTTTTTAAATCATTGCAAATCCAACATAATTCGGGGAATTTATTTTATAAAAAATACAACCCAAAACAGCCTATCCTTATTTGGCAATTTGTAAATTGTGTAAAGATCGTTGACTTCATTGAAACAAAAATAAGAAATTATAACACTCTTTCCAAGGCATGGTTTTGACCACGCGTCCGCATGGCTGCTACTACGCACAGCACGTTTTTCCAATGAAAGGATACCTTACAACACAAACGATAATCAATGGTCAAGTGTTGACCACCTGTTCACTAATAACAATAAAAAGGTCAAGGTTCAGAAAAAACACATAATGAGAATCGAAACAATTCACACGATTTAAACCAATCAATAACAATAAAAGAATATTATCGTTTTCGGTTAAAAAGCATAGTTGTATAAGCGAAATATTTCTAATCGATTTTTAAAATCTTTTTTTTATGGCATGATTGGGGTTAACTAAGTCCCTGATGTATAGTTGTTTCGAGTTCAAAATTCGGACAAATTTTTAGAGATATGCAAGTATTGTATCGAGTTGCTTTGGATGTAGAAGAGAAATTTAAAAAAAATGATTTTAAAAAACGGACAAATAATGAGGAAACTGTGGATTTTAAATGCTGAAATCGGTAGATGTAGAAAATATCAAATTGGCAAAAAGGCAACGGGAATTCAACTCCCCCATTTACTTTAAGAAGGAATACAAGTTTCCGGTTGCACTTAAGAAACATTTCCCTTGGGACTGTACTGAAATATACATGTCGGGTAACTTGAAGTATTGTGGTGTCCTATAAGAGAGGAAGAAAACCTACTCAGTAATACATGTGAGGGAAGTGGAGTCATCTTATTTATTTAAAGAAAGAAATTGAAGAGTTTCAATAAAAAATTCAATAAGGTCACAAGGCTGTTTTCGCCAGTTTGAGATTTCCATTAGGTAAAATATTCACTTTGTGTTTCTGTGATTTACCTTTGTTCGTGACGGTGATGACAATACTGATACTGATAGTGATGTTGACAATGACCATGACGGTGAGAACCATGATTATGTTGATGATGATGATGTTGATGATGATGATTGTCGTGATGATGATGATGATGATGATGCTGATGAAGATAATGATAATGGTTATGATCATGCTGGTAGTAATGAAAACCATTAAACACTCGCTCCTCCTGGAGAAAAAAATCCCTGTCCTCATCCTGAAAACAGAATCCAGGTATCTTCCTTGATTTCTCACCCACTATATGCTTCTCCCCTACGCATTCATTGTCATCATCAGTGCATTCGGCTATGCGTGATGGTCTCTACGACAAGTCAATTTTCGACCCATCCCTACCTTCAATCTATGCCTAATATCGTCTCTGAAAAACGAAGTGCAATTTCGAAACATAGAAAGTACTAAACTCTCGTGACTATTTGGTATTTGAGGGGATATATGGTTGTTCGATCATCATTACGAGCATCCATGTTCCTGCACGTTAAAAAGCGAATCCTCGGATCTTCTCATTACGGTTAATGTTCTGCGCTGGTGATGTTGTGCTACTCTATTATAAAAGCGAATTTGGAGGAGAGTATTTTTTTTTTGTAAAGTAAGAGTTAGGGAACGGGTCGTACTGGCACTAATTCCACTAATTTTTTTTCGAAAATGTTTACACTTCACTCAAAATTGTTTTCATCAAACGAAATTACTACTAATTAAGCCGAGGACGATTTTAGATAGTAAGCTTAAAAGTGTGCGAAGTTCTAAGTAGCATTAGACATCAATCCACTCGATTACAATTTGGGGATGCCTTTCCCTAGTCTCCTCAGCCCCCCCCCCCCCCTCCCAGCCCTTCATTCTTTCAAATGCCCTGAATACAGCTCCATTCATCCTTAAATCGCTAATTAAATCAAATGTCATAAACACTGCCATTACCGTGTGAGTCAAAAAAAAGTTTACACCTAGAAAATTGCTAATAATTTTTAAAATCATCTATAAACAGTAAATTATTATACATCTTATGAAAGAGTGTTTTTATCCCAAATCATTTGGTACCATTTATGTGTGGTATGTGTTCACGCTTGAATACACAGGTGGCATTGTTTGCGAGAGTGCAAAAATCGACTTGCGCCAAAGTGATGCCTACAGTATGTATTATGTTGGGATTAGCGGAGTGAGAGAATGAATTGAATGTATCAAATGGAAGGCATTGCATATGTTTTTTTGCAAAGGGCAAAGTCGCACACACCCACACACACGCGCACAAATGTTCGTTGATATTTTATATTCGATATTTGATATGTGTAGCATGATTAATTTTGTTAGGGATGTTATTTGGATCTGCAAAGTCCGAATTAATACCCAAATCCCAATTGTTTTATTCAAACATCATATAGGCAACTTTGGCGCAAGTCGATTTTTGCACTCTCGCAAACAATGTCTCCTGTTCATCCAGGCGTGAACACATACCACACAAAAATGGTACCAAATGATTTGGGATAAAACAATCTTTCATTAGACATATAACAATTTAATGTTCATCGATGATTTTTTTTTTTAATGATTATCAATTTTCTAGATGTAAACTTTTTTTGACTCACACTGTATATACCCGGCACTGCTAATCAACAATTAAAATACTTCAGCGGACTTAAACGTTTTCAAATGAGGTTATCATGAAATGACTATCAACGCCCTCCCCTAGAACAAAATGCGAATCCTAATTAATACGAATGCATTGTTTCACATATAACAATACTTTTGCTAATCTCTACACTTCTTAGCCCCATTTAATGTTTTGTATTAACATGATGTATACTTTATCGATGGCGGAAGCATAGTATGAAGACCGATAGACTAACAAAGACTGCTAGCAACATCTTTAAAATTTCCCATCTATCAACATTGTTTTGTAGACTTTTACTAAATTCCATAATCGTATAAGCAGAAGTCGTTGTGGTTCTATCTTGCATTAGGGATGGCGCTTTTCTCCTTTTCTTTTTTTTGCCTCCGGGCATTTCGAAACTGACATCGCATACACGCTGTCGCACTCAACTATCTTTCTGCTAACTCTTCTCACTTTCTCCGCCGATCTCTCACTTTACAATACAAATGTCGGCGGTTTATTGGATCTTAGCGCATTATAATTGAGAGAAGATACCCGGCATTTGATGAGAAAGCCGGTCGACCGTCACCATCCTACATTCGTCCTGGAATATCCATTTGTCTGCGGGCGCCAGTATTTTTTCGGCGGGAAACAGGAAAGGCGAATTTGACATGTCATACGAATCGCCTGTTGGGCTGATTTCAAATTATTGCACAAGTGGCTACGACTCATCAGTTATGTGTAAAACTGAAATTTGACAAAAACATTGCTATCCTGTAATCGAAAGGCTTGTTAAATTCATCAACAATTAGTGATTAGCAGTGTTTAACGTTAAATCATGTAGAAATCAATGATGCTAAAGCCAAATACATTGATTGTGTCTTAATACACGTTTATTCGGCCGAGATAGAAATTCATTTTTTACGGGGATCGACTTTTCAGATAGTTTCGAGATTTGAATCAAAACTTGTTTGGGCTTGTATCATTATGACGCCGATGATGGCCTTTTGATCTCATTGGTTATATCAGTAAATAATCTATAAATGGCCGTTTTGTTCCATCGGTACTCGTTATGAAAAATGTCTGCACAGTACAATTGTTATGTTTTTACAATAAAATGGCGCCATGTAATGTGTTGTGAATCTTCATCATCTTAAATCATCTTAAAGCCTGTCTGCACTAGTTTGGCCAGGAGGGATTAAACATCCCTGCAAGGTCACTGACAGGTGGTTATCTCATCAAATCAGCTCTCAAATAGCATAAGAAAAAGGGGGCATGAGGGACCAACGGGTACCGCTTAGGCATTGTTTGCTATATAGAGGGCGCAGGTAGCTACAAGTAGTGCAGTTCCGCTTTAAAGATCATCACACATAACTTAGATTGATCTATCATTGCCAATGACCTCTCAAGGCCTCATATCTTATCACCACCTATCAGACCATAACATTAAATCAAATGTAAAATGCTTCATTGAATTGTGAAAGGTCATAAATTAATACGAATTTTTCTCAAAGTACGCCGACCTCGGCTTTACCTGTCGGAAAGAATAATAAACATTAATATATTTTTTTAAAGCTTAGAGATGAGCTTTTATAAGAAAGGATTGACAGTCAATTATAATGATTCATCTTTATTTCTTATTTTGTTTAATACTTTGATTTTTGTGTCATTTCCCCCTTTCTTATTATATTAATCGTATTATTACATTTACATATTCGTTTTCAATAACAGGCTTTGAATTACAAACACTCAAATTTTTAAAAATATCATAAATTTATGAAAAAAGAATAAGAAACCTAAGTAAGAAAGAATAACATGTAAATGAATATCTAAGTAATCAGTTTTAGTATCCCAATTCCGTATGTTGGTTCTTGTAGCCAGATAATAATGATGTGCTTTGTATATTTGCATGGTTATTCTAGTATCTTCCTACGTTGTTTTATTTGCAGGTATCAAAACGGGCAGATGTGTAAATGCAACACATCCCAAAACAAAAGAAGCTACCACAGTCTGTGAAGTCAAAGCCTGGTGTCCAGTGGAAGTCGACATAAGACCTTTGTAAGTAACACTAAGTCCTTATTTATTCTATTCTCCTCATCCCTTTTTATGAACCGCACCTAGAAAACGACTCCGCCACTGTTCAAAAGGTTCATAATTATCAACAAATTATTTTGTTAATATTTTACATGGCATTGCCTAGAGGCAATGTCGTTGCACAATACTTGCGTGATTTCACGATATTCCTGGTCATATCAATAATGAAGATTACATGAAATATTCACAAGGAATTTGTTTAATCGTTCTGCTTATTTGTGCATACCAAATGTTGTGCCTATCGGCAATCATAGCAAACTAGCTAATGTGCCATTTTGGCGAATGTTGTAGATAAAAGTTCATTAGAGCATGTAGTGCATAGGAATTGGTGGATCTTGTGTGGGTTGAGAGTCATTGACATTACGCGAGGTTTGCACAATCATGCTTAAAGACCAACGGCACACATAATGTGACGTGAATGATTGGTCCAACCTTTTCAGCTGTTTCTCGTAATTTTGTCTAATATCAGAGCATTAGAAGAGCAATCATTTCCAGGATATTACCACTATGATATTCTTCCGAACTGACATAAAACGGAATGAAAATAATCACAAATTATTTTCAAACATTCTCTTTAAATACATCCCATACACTATCCGACTGCGATCTTTTTTGCAATCAATAATTGCAAAATCGATTGAGACGAATTTTTAAACGTGTACAATTTCCATATTCACTGACGATATGGGGTTCCGAAATTTTACTTCCTATTAAAACTTCGAAGGATTTGATATCTTCCGGTTGAAGAAAATGCCAAACTCTTAACATCAAAATTGAATACAGACTGGCAACTGGTCTGACGTCATTACGATTCGCAGCCAATCAGGGCGTATCCCGACTGGAAAGTCCATAGTACTTCGTGTTACTATTCATATGACTACTCAAGGATGTCCATCCTCAAGAATTGTTTTATTTTTTTTCATTCACATGGTGATTGCATATCACTTACATTTTCTTATACATGATGCATCAAAATTATAAGGTATACCGTTCTTTTGTGTACATAGTTTATGTGTTTGCGAGTGCCTGCGTGAGTTTATGCATATGCGTGTGTGTCCGCGCGTGTGTGCGGTTGTATGTGTGTGAACGCATGAAGTTTGTTCATATCTACGGCAGATTTGTGAATTTGATTTGTCATGATTATACACTTTTACAGCCTTTTTTTACCATTTATAACGTCTTTCTTTTAAATGGATAATCCTATTTCATTTCCACCGTACATATACCCCTAGGACTTTTTGTTTTTTATCTTTTAATTAGCCGTATAAAATGGGATTGAATTATATTGAATTATAAATCCTATCACCATAATCGCAGAGCAAGAAAACAATAATTGAACACGAGAAAGGTTATGTATTTCATTTTCTGAGAGGTGTTTCGTCCTCGGTATAGGGTCCGAGGAAAATACTTTTCTGGTTATACTTGAAAATTCAGAAAATCGTAAGAGAAGAAAGGTTAGTCTTTGGGCGAATGACCCATCCTATTAAGACTTTCTACTCCTATTTCGTGATTCCGCTAGGCGTTCTCCATTTCGCCCCTTCTCCCTTCTGCATCTTCTCTTTCCAATTTTTGTCCTTCTTCTCTCTTTTTCTTAATTCTTGTCATTTTCTTTCGTTCTACGTTTTATTCTCTCTGTCTCTGTTTCTCTATCTCTTCATTTTTGTCTAATTATCTTTTATCTTTTTTTTGTCTCTGTATTTCTCTTCTCTCTCTCTCTCTCTCTCTCTCTCTTCTCCCTTTTCTCTCTCTCTCTCTCTCTCTATTCTCTTCTCTCTTTCCATTCTCTTATATTTTTTTTCTCTCTCTACCCTCATCTTTCGACCCATGATTTCTCTCTTTTTCTCTCCCTTCTCGCTTTCTCTTCTGGTCAATTTTTGGGGTGGCAATATCCCTAAATTCAATCTCAGCGACACAGGTATTTTGTAACAATGCGGGCTTTAGGCCACACTAATCACTTTGAAATTTGCCTCAGATTGAATTCCTCTGCATGTGTCTTGCACCCTCCTTTCTCCCTTGCAAACCTAGATCAAATCGAATAAGCCACAAATGTCGAAGGGACATCTATAATCTTATCTCGTTTTCCCTCCATCGATTAGCGCGCAAATAAGGAGACGATGAAATCCGCGCCAAACCGACTTGTAGTCTGCGCTGAAGCTAGCGGAATAAACACGTCTGGTCATCTTAAGGCGGCCGTTCGTCAAATTAGCAGCAGAGTGAGTTTTGTGTTTGCCCCTGTAAACTAGGCATTTTCGGATGGGATCTTCAGTTTGCCCAAGCTCTTTGGCGTAATGAACCAAGGATGTGGGCTTTGTGACTCCTCGAATTAGGATGCCCCCGGGGTGTTCTTGGGAAGGAAATCACCATGATTATGGTAGATTAATGCATTGGAATGAGGCGAGAATTAAACGTGTTCGCTTTGTGGCAATGGGGCCTGAAATCAACGGAAAGGTTGCCACCTAGATATTGGGTGAGCTCGGAAGGTCGTAATTTGACGGTCACTCGTCTCCGGAGAAGGAACTTCGCAGAAACTTTAAGAAGCTGTAAGCGGGTCATGATTGCGAACTCGAAGGGAAAGACAAAGAGGTCCTTGTAAATTTAATTACAGTATAGAGTGGCATGATGAAGCATAACTTGACGAAATTACGCTTAAATTGACCTTTGTTGAAAAGGCAAACTGGGAATTTGAAAACATTAGAAACTGCTTACAAGTAGGTTCCGGAAATTGAGTTCTGCTAAAACTATTCCTGCCTGTGTATTCATTAGAATTATTAAAACTCTACCCAGTTACAAATTGTTATTTAATGTAACATATGCACAAGAATGGCAGAGATGGCGTTGAGATAAGTAATCCAGTATCTCTTTTTATGATCTTTTAGCTCTTCATCTTTGAGCAACTTGATGATGATTTACACGCATCTGTCAGGAACACAGCCACTGTTTAATTCTGCTAACAGGAAAACGACGTCGAAATCATGTATTGTAATGCCTGGTAAACACCCTACTAGCTGTCAGCAGCCGTTAGGCAGCATGAACTTTGAAGCATTCTTCATAATCTACCCACTTCTTACCACCCATCATCCTCCCCCTCTCCATCCCAATAATGTCTAGAAGCATTGATGGAGCTTTAAATGGCAAAGGGGCATGAGCCTTTTTCTCCCCAAGAAGTGGTGAAAAAGGGGACAGAAAAGAAGAGCGAAAGAGAGGGGAGAGCCAGAGGGAGATAGATAGAGAGAATGAGAGAAAGAAAGAAATAAGGGAGTGTGGAAACGAACATATGATACGACCCCTCCCGCACTCTAACCCGTTGGTCTCGTTAGTTTGCTTTTCATCCACTTCGTAAGACCCGTACTCCCTCCCTTGATACCAGAAGCCTGGGTCTACGCCACTGTCTAAAGCCTGGGCTTGACGGTAACTCTTATCACGTCGATGGAGCAATAAAATTCAAGAATCCGCTCAGGAATCGACACTTCACTTCTCAACGAGCCCCTCTTTTGACGACGGGATTCTTCAAGATCTCACCTCATCTTGGCGGTTGTTCAAGGTCATGTGTCCATCTAGGGCATAATCATGTCTTCAGTGCCGGGGAGAATCATGTCCTAAATGCCATTCTCTCTGTCACTTGTTGATCCGTCATCTATTTTCATCTTCGCTTTCAATCGCTTTCCATCGCATCCTATCATCCATTTCTAAAAATATGACCGTAAAGTCACTCATCTTATTTTCTTCAGGAAATAGCCTACTTTTATAAGTTAGTATCCGGTCTGCGGGGAATGTATCTATCTATGTAAAATCACCACATGCATATATATATATATCTCTTCTCTGTCTCTCTCCTTTCTCGTTCCACCACTCGTCAGGATAAGATTATCATCCCCCTCTCGCTACGGGCTTCTAGTTGTTTGTGTTCGGCAAGTATTGGAGACCAAAAAAAACACCTTGCTCTATCAACATATCCCACTGCTTCTGATTAGTCTGATAAGGGACGCCAAATAAAACTTAAAGATGTCATTTGAACAGATTATTTATTTCAAAAAAGGATTATGACGTCAAAAAATAGTAGACCATAAAATCATAATGTCTTTTGAGAAGAAAATACGGAGTCACTACTTGAAATATAGACTGATCTTATAAGCAAACATTCTATAATGAGTACAAAACAAAACTTTTACTTTCTTTATTTCTTGTTACGTGCTATTGAAATTCTGCAATTGTATTGTTTTGTGCACAATCGGTTCTTCCTCTATCACATAAAAGAACCTTTTTTAAATTTGGACTGCCGACCCATTATATTATTTTGAACTTTTAAAAGATCATCACATTACGTCATTTTCATAATTGTACATACGTCATAATATGATGTATCAATGCATATATTTCAACTAGCAAGCCAAGAAAACGAATAATCTAAAGGGCAAATAAAAACTGTTTTACAGCAAAAGATTTGTTTTCCATCCGTCATCAAATGATAAGAAACATTTATATTTTTCAAGCAGGTAAATTTCTCGAAATTTAACACGCTTATTTAAAAGGAATCGATCGAAAATACACTAGTTCTGCATCCACTAAAATACGTATTATTCTCTGTGAAATCACGGAAACCGATAGGTCTTTGGCCTGACCGAATGTATTCGATCGAAGCAGTATAAAATAATATTTAGAGTCCTCAATAACACACAATCAAACCAATAAAATATTGTTCTGTGTGTCGGTCTAAGATGACACATCGTGTGCACTATGAAAGAGGTCGGGGCTAACTTAGGCGGGTAAATGAAAATGAAAAGCAGGGAAACTGACTAGATTTGCAGCCGATATCAGCCAGTTCGTATCCCACTCGTTCATCCCATTGTTGGCCGTGCTCCAAAACGCGGCTTCATGCTTTGACATTTTTTCTGCAGAATTTGTTCAGCCTTCAGCATGATTATGCGATGATTGTGTAACGTTCTCTTACTGTGTTCTGAAAAGGGAGAATCAAAAAGTAGGAGCATCTTTCCCCTACCCATCAAAGAAATCAATGCAACATACAAACGTACGCGTTTGTCTGTCAGGAGTATCATGTGTTCATGTGTTCATGCCCTGCTCTAAGCAGACCAGACAACAAACTTGTAGTGCAGTCCCATATGAACAATTTGACGTGAGCTCTTCTCGACATTATAATGTTTTTAGATTATTGGATGCTCCCATTATGATGTAATTTGGAACCACCCTCCCCCAGTCTGATCGAATTAAAAACAAGAAGAATGACCCCCACCCACCCCCCCCCCCCTTCCTGACAGAATGTTAACCGGGTCATGTTGTTGGGCCGGCGCAATTATCTTACATTATTCCGACCAACAACTTTAAATTATCTTAATACAATTTTTAAAAAATGAAGACGATTCGTTACCTTTGATTCGATCATTCGTGGTTTATTACTTTTAACTCGATGAACCCCTTGGAATTAGCATATAATTTAGAGGGTGTAATTATGCAAGCATCTTTTGAAAACTGTCTCCCCAAAGACTTCTTTTTTTAAATCAAATTTGAAACATTACAATTTAAAGTACCGGCTCCTTGAAATGGAAATAAAGCCCTTAAAATTTTAAGCATAATATCGATAAAGTATGCAAAATCACCTTTTTTTTTGGGGGGGGGGGGTGGAAGTTGTCAAACATTTCAGAGAAAAAGGAAAATATGCACATGAAATCAACGCCCCGGCAAATTTACCCGGATTTACGACTCGTATCGAATTCGATAGGACAGAAGTTTTTTAAGAAAAAAAAAACAGACATTATTCACGTGTTGAGATAAGGTTGTAGTCACAATGCACCAAAACTAATCCAGTTTGTTGATTGCCGAGACTAAGGTTACGCTAAACTACTCCGAATTTCATCAAATATTGACAGTTATCTTCCTGAGTTCGCTCAACTACCGTGTCACATACAGTATAACAATTTAGTTGAAACACTTTGGTGAAAGAATTCGTTTTTTCCTTCCGTAAAAAATTCTCTCTCTCTCTCTCTCTTGTTTTCTCTCTCTCTCTCTCTCTCTCTCTCACACACACACACACACACACACACACATATGCGCGCGTGCACCTTTTTCTTCTGACTTGTTCTCTCTTTTCCCTTTCTGCCAAACTCTTCCTCGTATTTCTTTTTTGTTCTCTTGTCTATCTCTCCATCTCACTTTCTCTGTCTCTATCTCCTCCAAGTCTTCCTTCTCACTCTTCTTTCTGTTCGTATCTCTGGTTTCATGCGAGCACGGCTTTAACACGTTTTATATGCCCGTTGTCTTGGTGCATACAATAACTAACTTTTGTTTTTGAAGCTGTAAAGGTTTGCCCACTTATGCATTCATCAATTCCTTGGCGATCTTGACGATGTCTCTTTTTCTGTGCATATAATCTTCATTATACTCTCAAAGTTTTACATATCCTAAACCTAAAAATAGTTTTGCGATTAAAATTCGCCAGTAAATCCTGTTGGTAACCAAATGGAGCCGTGGCGGTCTATGTATGTAGCGGGTAATAAGCAGTGATCGTTAGATCTTCCAAGTGATTTACTACCGCCATACAGTGCCTTTCATCTTCATCGTGTTCGCTGGTTAGTGACCCTACTAAATCTTACGGTGAAATCTTGATTGGGAAATGAAATACAGCTATGGTGCGCTTCATATCCCTGTCACTGAGGACAGAAGTTGGCATTAGAAATGTCGAAAGCCATTTCGTCCAATCCCCAAGTCAATATAATCCAAATGAACAAGTATTGCTAGAAGAATAACCCTTTTCAGCATGGAATGGAGGAGGGCTCTTTTGTGACAATATCCCTTGATTCCGAATGACCTTTCAAATCGCACAAAATAGAAGAATATTTCGGAATCATTATGCGGAAAATTGAACGATGATTAGAGTTCGTTGAATAAATAAAGGATTATGCAGATACAAGGAGACTTGAAATTGTCTGCCCGAAGGTTATTTGATTATGAGGTCATATATTTCTACAAACTCAATTGTAGGAGAATACGAAACAACCGACCAAAGACTTTGTTTTTTTTATCAATGAGTTGACTTTGGAAATATACATTTACTGGCATTAGTGTTTTTTAATTTTGTTATACAATGACCGCGGTAATGATATTATGCAATACACTGTTATCACTTTCTTGTGACTGGACAAGCATTGTGTTGATACAAGTTTTGATATTTCTTTCGTCATCTCTCTCTATTTCTCTCTCTCTTTCTCATTTCAGATGGACGTCAGCAATTCTGGAAGAAGCGGAAAATTTCACAGTTCTCATCAAGAATTCTATTTCATTTCCTAAATTCGGATTTGTCAAGTGAGTATTCCTTTTGGATTGCTTTTAGATCTGAAGTTATGATTACAAACTGGCCATCGAGCAAAAAACAGATAAAGTAAAATGGATGTGTGCGTATTTTTCAAAGCTGTAAAACATTATGTTGCAAATGTATTTGGAAAATCAGTTTACTGTGGAAAGTAAGACTGACAAAAAGAGAACATAGTTTGACGTCGATAATGAATTTGGATCCAAATTTTCGTGTGAGCGTACTTTTAGACAATGTTCTCCTGTTTTTCGTGAAGAAACGTAGTATTATTGTTAATATTCGACTGCTATTCGAACAATTTCCAGCTAAATAAAAATATTTTATTGTCTTTATGAAATCCATGTAGTCATATTTTCAGCCATCTATTCAATATGTTTGTATAGCACTGATAAAGAGAATGATAAACTTTCCCTATTCAATGGATTCATTTCCCAAATTATACCACAAATTATACACTGTTTTGAAGCGGGGTGAACAATTACTTTCACGAAATGCTTAATATGCTATGTAGTTTACCATGCGTTTTAAAACTATTTCATTACCATACAAGAATATATCATATTAAGAAGATCAAAATATTAAGACTGAAGGTCTTTAACATAATATGCTATTCTCTTTTTGGAGGATTTTTTCAACTTTAATAATTTAATATATATCAAGCAATTATCCGTATTCACGCTTGACACGTTCAAATATGACGCGGTTAAACTGCCTCGTTTTTTGTGACGTAATTAGTGAGAAGCTTTACATTTCTGTATCCGATTACACACTGCTCAGTGAATACGGGCTCAAACAATGCACGGCGGTTTTGTGCAGCGGTTGACCGCATCATATCTGAACTTTGTTTTGGGGTCCATGGCTGTACACTGTTGCTATTTTGACCTTCGTTTGCCAGTTTGCCTGTTTATTGGGGGCGGATTTGCGCACCACGTGTAGGCCTTAAATTTCAACGTGCATTCATCAATCTCCAATATTATTTCGATAGATTTTGCCTTACAAGAGAAATATTTTTGACCTGTAAATAAGATCGTTGCAGTTTTATTTTAAATCACTTTTAGTTTAAATCTGTAGACGGAAAAACCCTTGTTTCTATCAAAACAGTGATGTAAAAAGTTTTCGAGCTAATATTCACAACATAAAAGTACATGTCATCAATAACTTAAGAACTTGCATTCAATAATCTCCATTTTAATCTCTTTCCATTTTTTTCACAGACGAAATATTTTGGATACGACAGATCCTATGTATCTAAGATCGTGTAGATACAGTCGACTCAAAGACCCACTCTGTCCTATATTCAGGCTAGGGACTATTGTAGCAGAAACAGGACAAAGCTTTAGACAAATGGCCATTAAGGTAAAATTATTTGTGTTTTGTGTGATTTTTTTTCGGATTTTGATATCAGTTTCGGTTAATGCCATTATGGTAGGAAATAGGGAATGATAAAATAATTGTTTTCTTTCGGTTGCAGTGAAATGTCTTTTTCATTATGTTTTTGTTCTTTCTGCTGTCAAAGACATAGTAGTATTTGTATTGTTCTTATTTTTATTTTTCAAAGGAAATTGGGTGTTTAAATAATGATATCTGTAATCAGAAACGTCATCATGAAAACGCTTGTTGGTTTATCTATGATATCAAACTCCAAGTGGACTAGTTCAATGTGCTTAGAAAGTATTTACACATCTAGGATCGACACACGTGTGCATTATAACTTTTAGAAAATTAAAGACCCAAAACTAGCAAACTTCCAATACTTAAAAGGAATATTCAGGCAGTTTTGGTTTCTGAAATATACTGAGTAAAAAAATACCACCGCAAATTGCAATAATTGTCGAAGTATAAATATTTTGATAATTAAAGTCTGACGTAATTAAAACTAATTTGCAATGTTAGATTGGTTCTCTGTTCGATGACGTCATAAAGGGCATCGTGATGTCATGTTTATTCTACCCTGGGTGTAAATTTTCACCTCGGGCGCATTTAGCGTTACGTAATAAACTGATGTTACAAAAACATCTCTTGAAATCGAAGATTTTAATTAGAGGAAACACGAACACGTCATCCTTACCTCCTCCTTTGATTATTTTCTTGGAAGACAAAATGTTCTGGAAACTAAAAATCGGTGTGTAATTTCTTAGCAAAACAATGAATCTAGTCTTCTTAGAAAAGGGTTGCATCCTGCCAATTCTAGTCGTTTGTTCTTTAGAAGGTTGACTGATTACGAGAGATGTTAACTGTGTGAATTTTTATCAAATATAATATCAGTAAACTCAATTTTAAAAATGGAGCTTATTGCCTGTGGGTATAATGTATTGCATTTGTCATCTCTATTTCAAATGATTGACACGTGTATGAAGTAAACAAATCCATAATGAAAATATGAAATCTACAATATTAAAGTGATTTCATATATCTCATGATAGATTAATGTTGCTTTATCTTTTTTGATGGCAAGGGGGTTTCCGAAAAGATTTTCTGACTATCTTTTCATAAATTGTCCAACGTGCCACCCGAATTCTATTTTTTTTTTAAATTTCATTAACCGATATACCCCATAGATGATCAATATTTTCGGCGATTTGAGATTTATCGAGAGAAATTGCAATGGGGTGTCAGATTCCCTACCATAACTAGAAACACCCTCAACACGTGTTCATTGGCTGTGTTAAGTGGTGTTTGGGAACTTTAGTAAATTGACAAAAGTGATATTTTTAAAGACTTTCTAACTATTTGCTCCTACCATTTAAACAAAATCTGTTTAAGCGATAAATTATATTTTACTCTTAGCAGCAATAAATTGTAATGAACTAGAGCTTTGGTAAAACAAAAAAAGGGAATAAATAGGATTATATCTTTAAGACTTATAGGAAAGTTTATTTCTACTCCTCCCCTAAGCATTTCCTGCAGACGGTACTTTCCTGGGGCTGTCATGAAATTCCAGAAGATCTGTCTTTCCTTGCTTCCTCCATGATCATTCGATTAGTTTGCTGCTTTGGCATTTCGATTGTTTCCACGGGGATAATCAATTATCCCGGGGAAAGAAAGAAATAGGGAGAGAGAAGACATGGAAACAGGACGTCAGGAGTATCTCGAGTCTTAAATCACTCGGTACAAAGATGAAGCCGATATTTCGAATGTAGCCACCATGAAAAATGTGGCCTCTAAGCGCCCGTCAAACTGATCAAGTTTAGAAGCTTAATCAATAATATTGTTGAATGTTAAATTTAAAAAAAAATCAACTGACATATTATAATGCGTATTAAACAATAATTTTTATATAAGATTACAGAGAAGATATGGAAATTTTATTTAATGAACCCTTTACATTAATGGTAGACCATATTTAAGAAATTCAGTGAGAATAATAAAAATCAAAAGCTCAGAATTCCGATGACCTTGGATTGATATTGAAATTACACAACATGAACAAATTCATAGGCCCATTTGTCTTGGTTAATTTAAGTAAAATTATCACAGAACGATGAAACATTCGTATATTGATTTCGCCATCCTTTTTTAATCACACATTTTTCCCGGTGTTTCGATGATACTCCATATGTCGGGCCTATGCTTTTTAAATACGGTTTCATCAAAGAGGCTCCTTGGTTTCATATACAATCTTTCTACCCGTCTTCCGTGAGCACATGCACGTTGTAAAACCCAACACCTGTATACCTCTCTCTCTGACTGATTTTCTTTCTCACGTAACAAATCACATCAAATTATCGTCGGTAACAATCCTGGAGGCATCAGCTTTCCTGCGCTTTAGTTCAACCTAGATACCGACTTCCTATCCTTAAGTATCACATTTTCCCCCCTCTCTTCATCATCTTCTCTTTGGCAGGGCGGGGTAATAACGATCGACATTCAATGGAACTGCAATTTAGATCTGTCCTATAAACTCTGTTTGCCCAAATATCGCTTCATTCGGGCGGACGAGCAGGACGCGAAGATCGCCGGAGGCTTTAATTTCAGGTAATATGATATTTGCACGTTCCATTCTCGTATTTCCTTCATGTTTTTGTGCACGAGATAATCGGTAGTGAGAAAGTGATGTTATGCTGTGTTTGCTCTCACGCAGTTTGATTAGAGTTGATGGTGGTTGGTGTAGTTGTGAGTTCAATCAGGCAGGCCATCGAAATATCCAACATGGCGGAAATATTCAAATAGATAGTCACATGATCAAATGCTTTTCACCTATTGGATACCGAAGCGGAAGAGCAAGAAGCAAACCAAGTGATTTTGACCCCCGAATATGGTGGCTCTCTGCTAAAGTATTTATCATGTTGAAATGTGTATTTATTGTTAGAATGTAGGAAAGTTTCATCAGGCGATGCTTTATGTTGGTTAAGTTGCTTGATCCGGATAAGTGTGTCGACAGAGTTGCTCTAAAGGTGTCTGAAGTAGAACCAAAAGTTACGTTATTTGATTGAACATTCTAAGCAAAAAAAGCTGATTTGCAACACAAATGCTGCCATAATTTATTCCTTTATTTATTTTTTTTATCAAATGATAAGCTGGTTCGACACACCACTCAGAGTAGGGTATGTATTTATTTAATGTTTGATCAAGAAATAAGCAAGTTGATTGCGATGGCATGATGTTGGCACATAGGTGGAATTGATTTAGGCCAGTGGAGCTATAGTTTTTTGGTAGATTGATTTTCATGTGCGTGTGCGTGTGTTTGTATGCACTGGTTAAAATATGCTATGAGATTACCGAATAAAACCAATTAATTAGCACATGGAAATGATAAAGATAAAAGGGATCATATCTTCTTCTTTCAAAGCATATACAATAACAAAAAGTATCGTAATTATTTGCAATGACGTTCTTGTAAAACATTTAGAAGAGGTAACTTTTTGTATTATTTATTTATTTATTTGACATATTTATACAGGATAAAAAAGAAAAATTCGAATCAGCATAGCTGTTTTTCATCGATGTCCTGTTAACATGATTAAATATTTCCAATTTTAACCGATGGGATTCTTTTCATTACATCAATCAAAAAAATAAACAAAGCAATAGAAGAAAGATAAATATAAGGAAAAGTTCGTTTTACAGAACATTAATGAATAACCAATCATATTGACCTTTATTGTTTATCATCTAAAAGTATGCCAGGTAATTTCTATAAATTTACAATGATGATTTATTGAATAAGTGATTTAGATCAGCACAAATTGAAAATGTTTATTATTAAATACGTATCTGTCAAAACAACTTCTTTACAAATGATTTAACTAATGGTCAAGTTCGTTGAGTGACTTTGATAAATAAAACCGCTTCGGAGGTCTTCTGATACAAATACATTCAGATCGAAAAGATTGCCGAATATCTGTCATCTGTTAGAAGCATTTGAAAACACTGATGGAATGAATGCTTGCTGGAAGACCTTGTTGCTTTTATTTGATTGAATTTCAATTCAATACAAACATAGATTGTTCTCTAATTGCTGTTTAATGACGCACGAATTGACTCGATGTTTTACGTCATCCATGATCACCGTTCATTTTTCTTCTCATTTTTCTTGTTTATCTTTCTTTCTTATTTCTCATCCATCCCTTTCCCCGTTTGTTGATGGAATTGGACGAAATGTTTGGAAAGCTTTTTTCTTGTACTTTTTTTGGCATTATTGTGTCAACTGGTATAGAGGTCAAGCTTGATTGTGAAGAAGGAAACAAACCAGTCTTAAAACGACGTTGACCCCCCCCCCCCCCCTAAATATCAAAAACTCCTGTCAGAAAATCTGAAAGGAGAAATCTGACAAAATTTTAACGTATTTTGGCAAGTAAACTAAATTGATGGCCACTCCTCCTTATTTTGTGGGGGAATTACATCACGTGGCGACAAATATCCTTAAATTTGTTGGGTGGAGGGGGAGGGGCTTCTGGGAAAGCTTGTTTGAGTAGTCGAGCTATTTTCACATTGGATATGGTATTGGGGCACCATTTCATTGATACTCCTTGCAAATATCCAATTCGAAAATATCGATGCGATAGCTTTGACATAACATTTCTAAATTAAGTCTCGGATAACAATTTTTAAAAATGGAATGCACCTTGTGCAAGACTTTGACAAAAAACAAAATGAACATTGAGGTAACAAAAATATCTCTGATTTAAAAAAAATCGACATTCTCATTCATGCCTCTTTTCAAGGCACCACAAATCTGCTTGACCTGTATACTTCACTTTTTTATTTTTATAAATTGTAATTTTGATGTATGTAGTGAAGAAACAGTGGCTATTCGTGATGTCATGTACACGTATTTGGCTTGTAGCCGTGGTGTTGTGTAAAAATCAATGTCTGGAATTGTCAAACAGCACACTGTCAAAATATGTTTATTTTTTATCATCCTTCTTGGACCTGACCCCCCATTTCACATGCATGACAATCAAATCATCCTAAGCATTTGTAAAACTGTGAGAAAATGTTTTGTCTCACCATGAAATTGGAATAATTTGTAACCTTAAACAAATATTTTGTTATTTCAAAGCAAAATGAACAAAGTTAAAAAAAATACAAAAATACTCAAAGACGGCACCACGGTTACGTAAAACAAAAAGCAGCTTAAATGTGAAGTTATGCGCTAAATACGTGTTGACCGAGTTACGTCACTAATAGCCAATGAATCAGGTTTCACTTTTACCCAGATTTGGGAAATTCTACAGAATCAACGACACGGAATACCGAGACTTGACCAAGGCGTACGGCATCCTCTTCCAAGTCAAGATCACCGGCGTGGCTGGCAAGTTCGACATCGTGCCGCTCATGTTAAACTTCGCATCGGGCGTTGCCCTCCTTTCATTGGTAAGAATCTTTGGCATGGCAAATTCATGTAATAATCAATGTCTAGTGATATAATGTTTGTGTTACAATGTCATGTGATGGGTGATGAGTGATATAATCATTCTATGTGAAAACGACAATGAATGTTGGTGACGTGTTTTATTGTGGCCCTCATGTTAAACTTCGCATTTGATGTTCCGCTCCTCTCATTGGTATGACTGTGTGGCATGGAGAGTTCATGTGACAAGACCATATAATGGTCATATTTGATATGAAGATGTCTATGATAATAAACGTTGGTGACATGTTTCATTGTACCGCTCATGTTAAACTTCGCATATGGTGTTTTGCTCCTGTCAGTGGTAAGGACATCCGGCATTGCAATGTCATGTGACAAGGTCACCTGACACTTTCATCATGATATAGTATGTGATGAGTGATTGATCGTGTAATAAGTGATATGTGATGTGAGCATGTGGTAAACCATGTGACATATTTCTGCGACATAATTATGATATGTGATACGGCGATGATATAACGATAGAGCCATTAGTGTCATGTCGAGAAAAAATGAAATTGTAAGAGACTTATCTGCTTCAAATGATGTACTTGTTTTCATCTGGATGAATATCGATATGCAACTGAGGCACTAATTATCAGACCTTTTTTTGCGTTTGTTTGTTATAGCGTCTCTCAAGCCACCTTTTCGCAAAATCTATAGTTATAATTAAAGAAATTCAGAAAAAATCTAATAAATGATTGTAAATCCTTTAAAATCTTTCCTCCACAAATTTTGTCCAGATGTCGTTCTTTCCCGTAACATTCCTGATACACTATGTTCGTGACAGCCCGATGCCATTTACCTCGATTTTGATATTGCACTCGCTCTATTCCCTCTTTAATGACCGGTAATGACCAGGCGAACAACCTCACGGAATAGAAGAATTACCACCATAATTGACAATTGCAATTCGTCGTTCTGACTTACGAGGGGTACCTTCTCCCTGACCAGTAGATGATCAGATAAGGGGTTATTCGTTAACTCGAAGGTTCGTAACTTCGAACATTTGATGCATTACTCCGAGGGTTCGTTATTCTAAAGGGTCGTAATTCCGGCAATTGTGTGTGTGTGTGTGTGTGTGTGTGTGTGTGTGTGTGTGTGGGGGTTTATTGGGTTTTTACAGACATGTATCAATAAAATATGATTATTCATTTCTGGGGACCAACCTTTCACGTTACCATCCGAAAGTCGTGAATTAAATGGGGGACACTTATTAGTAAATTCCGTAAGTCCTAAAACGATTCAGAGTTCTATTTCATGTTCTGAAATTATGAACCCTCAGATGTAACGCAGATAAAAAAAAACAGTCTGAATCTTGAACGGATAGTGAAAACTGTAGGGATTGTGGTAACAGGGTTATTAATAAAGGAGCTCCAGTACTCTTCAGTGCAACCTTAGCAACGTTAAAATGAATTTCAGAAAAGGAACAACCATTACATTTCTGATTTTCTGAGACCACTGAAATGTCTTTGAGTTTCAAGAGATGACGCCAATTAAATGATTTGGTTGAAAGTCTTGCTTTTATAACCTAGTGACGAAAAGCGTGTTTTTCCTATTTCAAATAATGTAATAAATCACCGCGGTTATTCTTTCTGGCGCCTGTTTAAGATATAACGTCTTTATAATGTCGGCATATAACGAAAATGTATTGCTTTGTGGGATTTATCAGACAATAATTGAATTCTTGAATTATAGAAGCGTTAATTCGAGCGACCTAACAACATTGCTGGTTCCACGAATATTCGGACAAATTTAATATCCACTAGGTAATTGTCACTTTCTATCTACTTTGACCATTTCACAAGCTCATAATGATGTCACTATCGCGTGTTGGTAGTCGAATGATGATTGAAATGTTTTCCCGGAAAGCCTCATCGAGTTTTAATGGTCTCCTTCAACACAAGTTTTTGTGGAGTGCCATACTCCAAATTGTTTACCAGAAGAGGTTAACTAGAAATGTGTTTTGTTACTGCATCGTGCAAAAACTCGTAGTTCCTTTTAATTGAATCGAGGTGGTTTGTTAAAAAGTAACAACAAAACAGGAGTGAGAGAGTTTTGAATACATTGTGTGCGGGCAAACTTAAATCCAGTGATCGGTGTAATGACATTTCTGTAATTAAAAGCGCTTAGAGAAATCGTAGAAGATTTAAGCGCTATATGAACCCAAAACACTATTATCATTACTGCCCCCAAATCCAGAGAGTATTTGTTATACCGAACATGAATCAATGCACAATCTATTAATTTAAACAAAAAATATCCAGGACCCCCACGCGTTAAAAACATAAAAACTTATCTTATACATTACAAGTCTACCTACTGCAACGTTTTGTTTTTTTTTGGGGGGGCGGCCTTCATATCATTCTTGGTTCTATCCGAATGGCTACTAGAAAATGTATTATTTTTAGGAATGGGGGCCTTTACATGTTTTATCACGCGCATAATCAGCACCTAACATCAAACAAATCGCATACATTATGGAAAAAAGAAATGCACATGAACTATCACTCCCATGGTGTCGAATGTACGTGGTAAAAAAGCAATACCCATACACGGAACACAGACACATGAATATTGATGTTAACATTTCGTAACGTTCCACTGGAGCGAAATGCCTGATCAAAAGGGAAAAAAACTGATGTTAATATCCAATAGAATGTGGGCGAAAAGCACATTTTACCCGATTGTTAACTTGCACCTGGACCATATGCAGACTTACGTCATGGTAATTGGTTCTCGAACTGAAGGGAATCCGTACTGATGATGTAAATGCTTCATTCAGACAGTCTGTCAGCGTTGCCCATTTGGACATTCTTCTTTAAGCAGAGGGTGCAATTAGTGTCACAAGACGGGTAACAGCAAAGGATAAGAGGCATGACTCGGGTGTACCCTCACCCATGACACATTGTTATAACATTCATCGCCCTGTGATGGTTGTATATACGAAACTAACACCCCCTTTACAATAATTGAAACCTGAGATATTCCACCGTTGAGGCACGGATGAGGGAATTCAGAAAAGGAAACCGGTTTTCGCTGTTAACCAGTTACACATCAACACGGTCATTTTCATATCGAAAAATATATTACATTTAAATGACGTGGAAAGAGTACCAACCCCAATTTTTTTTTTCCTTCTCACTTTAAGAATACACATTATTTATCAAGGCAATTTCTTTATTTTAGGCATTATATTTTATAAATGTCATGTACATTTCGATATTCTATTTGTGATGTAAAGATCATGCTAATCCTCATAACCATAGCTAATTCAATAAACATTCGCTAGTATAACATTATGATTTTTTTTCTTCGTGTTTCTAATACTGAATCTAATCTGCACAAGGAAACAACGATATGTATATTTCAACTTGCAAAGTGAATAAGCAAAATGCATTTGATCTTATCTTAGACTTAGATAAGATCTTTATTTTAAAAAAAACTTCACAACATGCATTTGTGTTAGTCATTGCCATATGCCCTCACGGTGACTATATGGTAGGAATACTCCCCAGGGAGAGAAGATGGTGCATATTGTGCGTAAATGAATCTGATAACCGGAGTGATGATATCTTTAAAGCGCTTAGTGACGGTATTTCGTATGAATCGCTTTATGAATCTCATTTATTATTATAATCATTAATCAGCTAACTGTTTAAGCTATCTTAGAGATAATCAGTAAAATTACATCACAGCATAGATTTATAAAGAAGAAGAAATAAGAAGATAAACTTATTAGCGAAATGGAATTAATCCTAAGACATAATTATTATTCAAAGATGTTACGACATGAAAGAAAAGTGCAAGTCAGAGCTCATGCTATCAGAATGTACTTTTGGGACTGGCGATTGTCTAGTGACCACGTGATAAATCCCGTCAAACACGGCAGTATGACAACAGAAAGAGACACGAGACCTCATCTCCATGATTCTATGGGGTTACTGTGCTTTATCGGATTCGTTGTTTTATTTTATTTATGCCTCGTGAGAAATAGAGAGTTCCTTGAAGTGTGGAGGAGCAAAATGTTGGATCTTATAAGCTCTGGTGTGTGCCAATGGCATGTAAATTGGATAACATATTTGCTGGATGTCCATAACATGATGAAATCAATTTTTAAAAAAGATTTGTACTTGTCTAAAAATGTATACATAAACGCTATTAGGTTATTCCGCCGTTGGCACTAAGAAGGATATACATTTTCATATGAGAGGGCAACAGTTAGGGAAATTTTAGGGGAAATATCGTTTTAGGTAGTATTACCATTGCCACATGATGAAGAAAAATAATATGTAAACAAAAAAGTTTCTTTTTTAATGTAACAAATAGTTTAATCACTCTAAATAACATGTTCATATCTTCTACAGATACCATTTAATCATCAATTAAAATAAAGGTACACTGTATATATATATTGTGTTAATAATACAGTTGCAAAAAAATGCAGTTCGTTAAGTTAATAGACTGTTAACGGGGCAAGCGGTAGCCAAACACTTTATTTTAAAGATATTTATTTTGAAGAGAGATCAAAGAGACGGGAGAGAGAGGAAGGGGGAGAGCCCGTTGTTTCTTGCAGTTCAAGCGCAAAATATCTGACCAATAACATATTTGCTCAAAAAGCAATCGACGGGGTTCAAACATTTGTATTCTATTCATAAACCTATTCCGTCCTCTTGGGGCTCTGTGGAGAGGTTCTACTGCTCTACACGTAGGTTTGCAAGCAACCTCTTGACCACATTCTCACAAGTAAAGAAAGTCGTATTTCAGAGTCTAAAAATATATACATCCGTCAGATAAATACTTGAATTGCGACCTCTCCACCATCCCCAAATTCCCCTTCCCCCCTCTCTCTCTTTCTCTCTCTCTCTCTCTTTCTCTCCTTTTCCCTTTCTTTCTCTCTCTCTCTATCCTACCCCTTTCCTCTCACTATCCTTAAGATGTGTGACGTTTGCATCTGTGTGTT